TTATATAGTAGAAATTGATTGACAATTTAAATTATATGCCGAATTATATAGTAGAAATCGATTGACGATTTATTTATGCCAAATTATTTGTTGAATTATATGGTAGAAATAGATTGCCGATTTATTTATGTTATTAATATGCCAAATTATGTTTTTTGATGAATGTTACATGAGTGGCATTATGCCAAATAAATATTTTTCAACTAGTGCTAGGAAAAACCATGATAGATTATTATTAATTTGCATGTATATAGAAATATATAGTTTGTATGAGATGATTGATATCATGCTCATTATTCAAGATATTAAGTTAATTCTTAATAAAAGTGCTCACATCTAATACCAGTTGTGGTTTAAAAAAAAAAAAAAAAAAAATTATATTAATTTACTAGTATAATTATAGAATTTTATTATAAACTTTTTTTTAAATAGCAAAAAAAATTTTTGAAGCTTTATTTACAAAATGAAAAAAAATAATAAATATCATAATCATTTTTTAAATAGTAATACGTATCTAAAACAAGATATTGGTTTTTATTTATATAATTTTATTTTATTATTAATTTTATATGCAGCTTTCAATAAAATTAGACTAAATATCGGGAATTATTTAATTAACAGGCAAAATGTAACCAATACTACCAAAATCAAACAGTATCGAAAAAACGAAACCCACACACTGTACAGCATAATCGAGTATTAATTTCTTTAAATGCCATAACTTTTTACTCTTATACCGTAGGATTTGAGAAAATTAAAATTTTTTTTTAATTCGGAAAAACTATATTCAATAACATTCCAGTATATATTTTTGATTCGAGTCGGTTTTTTAAAAAAGGCAGCTTAATTATGCATGAAACAAAAAGAAGCAAGAAGAAATAAACTGTACAAAGAAGAGAATAGTAAACCAAAGTATAACAATACGATCCTTTGGAAGATAAAACTAAATGAGCGGTCAAAAAGGAAAACAATTCAATTACATAGTAAATAAGGGAATACGATACACACGTCATTCGCAAATTTTTGATCCACAGAATGTCCGCATTAATTAATATGGCGCAAAAAAGAAGCATAATACATAAAAAGTATTCCGCTAATGAATGACGTAAAATCAAAATACCTAAAGAAGTTTTATTGTATTGGAAAACTCTAATCATTTAATATCTCATCAATCCCGAACCGGGTGGTCCAGTAGCGTGATTCGACATATGCGGAGGGACTTGAACATTCGCCATTGACATGGACCCCTGAACCCCGCTAGGCATGTTAGAATTCGAAACCCCACTTTGTACCATTCCCATCGGGACGCCGTTTGGCCCAATACCCATGTTATTAATATTTTGTGGAATTCCCTGAGAGCTCGGCTGTATCGAGTCCAATCCCATTACTCCATTAGCCTGTGCAATCGGGCAATCTTTGTGTGCAAGTAACAAGGTTTTTAAATTAATGATTTCTTCGCGTAAAGATTGTGCTTGATTCTGTAGGTTTTCGTTGTCATTGGTCAAAAATTCCACTTTGGACTGTAAATTCGCAAGCCACTGTTTCTTACGTTGACGACATTTAAGAGCAGCTATCCAATTAATATTTGAACATATTTTAGAGTCATCACAAAGATGAAAAAACATAACATATGAACATATTCAATTAAATATCATACCTTGACGGTTTCTTTCTAAAAAGTTCTTTCGCTTTTCCTCCTCGGTCATTTCACTCTTTACCTTTTGCCCATTTTTCTTTGAAGGTTGCTCATTGACTAGAGGTTCTTCTGCCTTTCGTCTCGCACCACGTGATCCCGATTTTAAAGAGTTCGAAGTATTCATCTTGTTGGATTGTGGTGAGCTGACAGAATCTTCATCCATAGAATCAGAAAGTGAAGAAGCTTTATGTGCCAATAAGCCTGAATTTATGCCGTTTGATTGTCGTCCATTATTCATAATATTCATATTACCGTTAGTCTGCGACACAAAATCATCCTTTTCAGTTTTTGGCATGATTGTATCTGGAATCAGTGCATTACTTATTGTATCCTGTGTTGACGCGAGCATATTACGATTGTTAATGGCTGAGCCACCAACAAGTAGATTCTGATGTCCGATCATTGAAGAAGAAACAGATGTTCCATTTGACAGATTCAAAAGATTTGTTGAAGGCAATGTAGCGGTCACCCCGGGTTGTATTACTCCTGGCTGTGTTGTGGGTACAGATATGGAAGTAACAGAATTTGTTGCGATTTTACGCTCGGAATCTGTGAGCGTACGAGGAATTCCTTGAGTAAAAACATTACGACCGAATTGGTCGGTTGCATTTACAGTTGACAAAGATGTCACGGGGAGAGCAGGATTAAAGAAAGAAGTTGATAAGTTACCAGCGACTCCAAATAATGCGGTAGATCCAGGTGAAGATTCCGCAAAGGAACCAAAAGGAAGTGGTGTGGTTCCAGTGCGACCTGGCTGAAGGTTATCGAACATGATATTTTCTTGAGGCCCTGCTAGCATAGAAGGCGACAAAGCGCCGCTTCGCAAGGATTGTAAATTCCAACCATACCGATCTTCGCTTGGGGGAAGACCAGGACTTGCAATTTGTGAAACTGGAGGCAAACTTGGTTTCGGACTATTGGCTCCTACACTGTCTGAAATTGGGGCTACACCAGAAAAGCTTTGTTCGAAAGGATTCGGTTCCAAATCAAGCTTCGAACATCCAGCCAGAAATCGCGTGGGAGTTTGATCGATAGTGGGAGGGGGAAGGTCTTTCCCTGGAAACTTTGTAGATGTATTTTTTGGTGGCGAAGAAGCTGTTGATTCATTTTTCGACTCGGGGGATCTTCCTGAAGTCGGAGTGGACAGCTCGGAATCTGTAATTTATTTTTAGGGCCATTCAGAATGACGTGATAAGTTCAATAAGTTCAACAAATTATTTTTTATAATTATCCAACATTAATACATAGAATAGAATCTACCTTCGCTTTGTGTGTCTGGTGATAATTGCACGTTATTCGAAACCATTTACGAAAACAATAAAAACGACGTATCTATGATGGATATAATTTTAAGAGAAGATAAGTATTCATTGAATCTTTGATGCCGCAACAAACATTCAAAATCAAATCTAAATTCGCCATACCTCTTTATTGCATACGACTTCTAAGAGCGTCTCTAAATAATGGCAATCTTTTTCTTTTCCTGTGTTGAAAAGGAAAAGAAAGGACACAATTAAATGAGGAAAGGTCTGATCAACTTGGAGACGAGATTCTGTCATAAAGAGCATATGTATACCGTTAGTTTACACTAAGCCTAATTTGTACTTTAGATCTTAGTTGACCATCAAATAGTTGGATATAATAGGGTAAAACGAAGTGATTCGGTGTGTTAAAAATCGAGAGAGAATGATTGCGATAATTCTGAAACAAGTTTCGATTGAAAAGTTATGTAACCTCATACCTGTTTGAAAGAGGAAATATATTGTAAGGCAAAAACCGTGAAGCAATAAAACCAGTAGGACTGAAGGTGGTCAAGTTTTCTAATCAGGGATGTGAATAATAAAAGTAAGAATGACTAATGAAAGTTTTTATGTGAAAACTCTCCTTCTACAACACAAAAAAAGGGTCACTCAGAATGTGGCAGAAAAAAAAAGAAATGCCACAAACCAACCCCCAAATTACAGATACGTACACAGCCAACTTTTTTTGTTAAGTATGACTTCCAAAAACGAAAGGGCGGGTGTTCACTCAACATCACATGATACCTACACCATAGGATAGCTATACTATTAAATTGCCTATAATACATAGTACACGCTGGTTCGGAATATAACAAACTTGGTTCGGAAAAGTGCTGCTGGTGATAGATTCCATAGACCATATGCTATCGATTGGTATATATCAATAATTAATGGCCATGCCATATGCAATTGTTTTTCAAGTGAAAGTTGCACAAATTCATTTCTATGTAATATGATGTATTTTATAAAGAACCTTTATCTCACTATTACCCATATAGTGACTCAATTTTTACGTCATAGGTTGATTAATTTACCTTATCGGGAGGTAATCTGGTTTCACACCCCAGTAGTTTGACTCAACCTGTCAAAATAAACATTTTTAGCGTAAAAAAAAAACCTTCTTTGAAGCACACGTCTCATAAAAGATGCTTGTTTCCATTTTATTCATTACTCTCTCTGCTAGAGATTCCTTGTACGCACAAATCAGCATGATATTTTGATGTTTGCTCCATTATCGTTGGGGACAATGTGTAGCGTAGCCATTGAATCGAACCTACCATGAAGTTGTCATACCTGCCACAAATTTAATTGGTCGCCATTTGCGAAAAAAAAAATTAAAATTTACCCAGGATCGAATGTGATAAGACGTTGTGGTAATGGTGATGGCTGACAAGATATTCCATACACGATAATTTCTAATTTTAATACAATCACTTCTCGATTATGTTGTTTTGTAATCTAACTAATCTAAGAAATCGTATCTAAATTATATGATTGGATATTGACATACGTTATATAATACTGCATATATTTAATATAAATATTTTTTAATAAGATCTTTCTAATAATGCATTATATAATATTAAGTAATGTAAATAATAATAATTAATAATGATAAAATTTTATTATGTTAATTTGATAATTAAGAAAGATCAAATAACATTTTATTATTTATAACAAAAAAGTTTTTATAGTATTTGAAAGTCTTTTTTATCTTTAAAATAAATTATTATAAGGATTATTTTTTTAAAGAATTTTGATTATTTAGTTTAATTCTAAATTTTTGAACAATATGATTTTTATTAAAATAATTGACTAATATAAAATATATTAATTTTAAAAATATCAATAAACTTTATTATTATTTTTTTATTATTATCAATTTATAATCTTGTAATATAATTTGATTTTTATTAAGAAGTTATTGTGATAAAAATAGCATCTACTACCATTGAATAGTTATTTTTAGTCATGATCTTCATTCTATTTCTATTTTTATCTA